GGCAATGAATAATGTGAGCAGCGAATGCAATGTTTGCAGTTCCAAGAATCAATTCTGGTCGGACTCGGAGTCAATTCTTGATTTGTGATTATCAATTATCGCAATCAATCCCAAATTCAGAATCCCGACAATCGAGAGTCGCAGTCGCCTCAAGTGTCAACTCAGCCGGATGAATCAATGATCAGTTTGAAGTTCCGAGTCTTTGACGCTTACGAATACGGACCTACGGAATCGTTTGCACAAGTCCGCCAGCGGGCAGCCGCAGCGGCTCAGGCTCTCAGGCTCTCAGCCGAGTTGGAGTCTCAGACACTTCCCCGCCCCTCCCCCCAACCCCCCGCCGGGGAACAGTGAATGGGGGGCCCATTAAGAGTCCGATGGGCACCCAGCCCAACCACGGGCCTGTTGGGCCGGTTCTAACACGAGCTATCACCAAATGGGCTCGGGCCAAACCCGGCCCAAACCCGGATGGGCTCGGCGGCCCATTGGACACCCTGCCCATTTGCCATCCTTAGTCTATCTCAACAAGCGGCTACTGCGGCAGGTGTGGAAGAAATCAACTACTTCCCTGAACTTAGCACAGCAGTAGTTTCAGTTATTGCGGCTGTTGCGGGGGAAGCAAGATGAAGAACCCAAAGTTCACGGTTGACAGACCAGTGACACTTTGACAAGTAAGAATGAAAAGGTTCTGATTCACTAAGGAAGTAAACTCCAGGGACAATCTAGTATAGACTATATACAAGATTGTCTGTGTTATGGTTTAAGCATACTATACTAAATATATAAGCATATTATCTTAACATGTAGATGCACTCGCAGTTGAGGATCTTGGACTGACAGAAGTGGAGGCTCTTGCAGCAATTGATGAGTAAATTCAATTGAAAAAAGGTGAGAGGTATGTGTCAACACCGTCACCTTGTTGCCTTGCCCAACGCTGGGCCGCTACACTAACCGTAGCGGTTAGTGTAGCGTAACGCAGCTGAATCGCTGTTAGCGATTAGCGTAGCGTAGCGGAATTCCGCCACGACACCGCTAATGCTACGCGTGTGGGCCGCAAAAAAGGGCCCACTACGCTGCGCTACAGCAGTTTTTAGCGGTTTTTGGCCGCTTTTTCCGCTAAAAGCGCTGTAGCGCAGCGTAGCGTAGCGAAAACCCGCTAAAAAAACGCTAACACAACGGTTTTTCAATGAAAAAAAAGCGCCGCTACGCTACGCTTTTTGGGCCAAAAGCGTAGCGTAGCGTAGCGTAGCGTAGCGGCCCACCGCTGCCTTGCCTTCCACCACTTACACGTTTTAAACAATTGGTGTCACTGACTGGTCACAGGTATACCAATTAAGTCACTGGCAAGACAAGTAACCAACTAGAGATGTTCTCGGGGTATCTGTCGCGGATACCCGCCCGCTGTAGCGGATACCCGCAAGTGGATGTGGGTTTGGGTGCGGATGCGCCATTTCCCGTGATTTACCAGCGGATACCCAAGGCCAATGCCCCGCCTGGAAGGGTTTCCTTCCAGTCGGCGAGGTACATGTACCTTGCCAACTGGAAGGAAACCCTTCCAGCCATCAAGAGGTACATGCACCTTGCCGGCAAGGTATATGTACCTTGCCAACTGCTGACTGGAAGATTTTCTTCCAGCCGGCAAGGTACATCCTTGCCGACTGGAAGGAACCCCTTCCAGCCGGTGCCTCCACCACCTTTCAAAGGGTGTGTATCCGAGGATACCCACGCTGTGGTGTTCTAAACGGTACAGGCCCCCTCAAGGTCCAACTTCAGAATTCAACTTTCAAATTTTCAATATCCTCAAGACTCAAGATTTCAATATTATCACCTCAAATCCCCACTCAGTCCAATGGTTTCCTCATTTTATTATTTTATTTCATTTCCTCTTATTATTTACTCTTCATGTTATTTTTTATTCATCTTGATTTTATTTTTTATCATTTTATTATTCTTAATTATCTTTTTCAAATCATTTACTCAGAAGACAGTATTGTTTCTTATTTCTTGGTCCTAAGACATAGTTTCATTTATGTTGGTCTATTCTGATCTTTTTTGTTTGTTCTATTCTGTGTTCTTCTTTTGTTCTTTTGTTGTGTTGTCTTGTTTTTGTTTCTGGTTGATTGGTGTTGTAGTTAGGGATGTGATGACATGTCTGTGACATGTCACTCCCCAGAGTCAAAGTTCAGTTTGAACTGAGATGATGGGGCGGCATGGCATTCTGTTCTGATCCAAGAAAGACCCATCAAACCTTGTTGAAATCTTATTGATCCTGATCTTCTGAGCTATTCTGATCTCAAACCTTCTTACCCCACATTCCATTCAGATCTTCAAACTCAAACCACACCACCGCCTGCAAAACTCAATTCTGCTGTCTTCTCAACAAATCCAACCTCACCTTTCCTGTTTTGATCACACCTCTTATCCGGACCTACAACAAGGGCAGCTTCTCAGCACCTTCCCCTCAACCAACTGCCACCGGCCAGCACCGTTGGAGTTCCACTGCGCAGATACCCGCTGGCGGGTGCGGATGCAGGTTTGGATGCCTATTTCCCCGGAAAAAACAGCCAGATATCCGGATGCACCGGGGCCATCTCTAGTAACCAACTCATCAGGAAGAATCCAAATTAATTGCCAACCACTCTTCCAATTAATCATCCATTTTATTCTGAAAATAGAATTCCAACATCCCCAAGTTAGCTGGTTCACTCTAAAATTCCATCTTATCCCCAACCCAAACTCAGACCACTACAATACCTCAACCTTCTCACCTTGTTTTTTCCCTTACTTTTATTAATTTCTTTCATGTTTATCTGCTTCATTTTTCTTTCTCTTCCCTTTTTTATAGGAGGGGAGGCTGTGAAACTCCACACATACTGTGGCCTGTGGGCTTCACAAGGTGAAGTGTTACAAATTACATCATCTGAAGTCCCCTTTATATTCCCGTCAACTGTCCTTCCCTAGCTCAGACCATCTCCACCTGGCAACATTGTGTGAGTTGCTAAATTTCCAAACTTGCCAGCTGTGGTACAGTTATAGCAACACATTGAGATTTTGTTGTCCACCGCAGGTTTCCAAAAGTAAACAAGCTGTATGTGGAAGTAATATTAGTAGAGATTGAAAGGGGAGGAGATGAAGATTTCACAAAGATTATCCTGTGAAACCAATGGATTGGGGAGGTATTTGAGTTGCTACAGGGATTGCACATCTAGCAATGCTATACTACCCGGGAGGGTGAAAACTAAATTTACCTTATTTTTAGCACCCCCAGTGGAAGGTGTACATATTCTGGGTTTGGGGAGGCAAATTTAGTATACTCACACAATATACACCCCTGGGTGGAGATGGTCTCAGTAGATATTACTGATCCTTCAATCTTTGAGCTATGTGAGCCTTCTGAATTCCTTCTCTCCTCTCTCTCTGATTATCTCCCCTCCACAATTGTTAGAGAGATTCCTGGAGGACTTCCCTTTGCCTAAATCGCTAGATCTACAAGGGGGTCCTAAACTCTATTGGCTGGTGAAAACTTGATCTTGATCAATTTTTGCCAGCAAATAACGTTTAGGATGTCCTTCTAAATTAACAGATTTGGATGACAGGAAGTCCTCCAGTGGAGGACTTCCCATCACGATTTAGAATGCTTTTTAGACCTCCCTCAGTCCTAAATGGACGACTTCCCGTCAACATCTGCGGGTCTCCCAGAGCCGGTTTAGAGCCACAAAAATCAAATTTCCCTGCAAGAATTAAGAACTTTTGAGTCTAGATCGACCTCTGCCAGGGTCCCAGATCCAACGGGAAGTCCTCCAATTAACAACACAATCAAGATTTCAACCAGCTCACATGACAGCTGTTTCTGGAAGGCTTCAGAAAAAATGTTTTTTTTTGATGAACAAAATAGATCTAAGGGGTGTAAATTGACTTCTGGGAGGGTTGTAGATTGCAACGGGAAGTCATCCACTGAGCCTTCGATCTCTGAGCTAGCTTGACTTTTGAATGAAAACTTATCATCTGTTGGTTCTAACTTCTAGAATCTCTCCAAGACCCTGGTCTTGCACATGTACGGACAGTGAAGAGCTCCTGGCTCTTACAAGACCACTCTGAGGATGGTCGCAGGACTGCCCAGAGGTGGTACATCTACATATAACTAAAAAAATGGCCTCAGAGGGCCAAACAAACTGTCAGCCTTTGTATTGATTTCTCATGCGGCTTCTAACGCCGGCGTCGATGTTACACATTTCAATGTCATTTCCGACATAAGACTTTACAATCATAAAAAAAAAAGAAAAAAAAGAAGGCTATGTATTACACCATAGGACCTTCAAACAAGTAAAATCCCCAACATCCAGGGCAAAAACAAACCGCCTCCCCAAATTTGGGGGCATATACTAGTATTTCAAATAAAAACATCTGCTTACTGATTTCTGGAATTGGGCACAGCCAGCAGTGAGAGTGACCAGCTGATGATTGAAGTGTGAGAAGAAAACCAAGTTCTGACACTTGAATTGATTAGGTATTGTGAATGATCCTTATACTTGTGAGAATTGAATAGGCCATCTGAAGGGAAGTTCTCATGAGCTGGTTAGTTACATATGTAGCTCTGGCATGGCCGGAAGGTTGTATGGGTGCTGCAACAACTGTTTTTGAGATGCAATTTTTTTTTCTTTTATTGCAGAAGCCCTCGTTTGAGTTGAAGATGATGAGACAGTTGTTCAGCTGAGATGATTGGTTTGGTTTGGTTTGGTTTGGTTGTGGGGTTGATTTGAATGGCTTGGTTGGTGATCAAGGCGATGAAGGCCGGTGGCTTAGATGAGAGATGATTTGGGAGGTGACAGTTGGCTGGGGCACTGCCACTACTAATCAATCACCCATTCCATCTGAGGCCTTTCCCCCCGCCCCTTCTTCCCCTTCTTCTCCTTCTTCCCCTTCTCCTGCTCCTTCTTCTTCTTCTTCTGTTCTTTCCCTGCTTGACTACCAACCAACCAACGAACCACAACCACATAACCAAGATGGAATACTCAAGCCGTCATCAAGAGACCAACAACAACACAGTAAGCAGTCAGACACAGCAGAAAAAAAAAAAAAAGAAAAAAGAAAACACAGGGAAAACGGGAATACATCAGATCACTGACTCACCCTCTACTTAAAACCCTAGTTACCGATCTACAATCATCATCAGCCAATCGTATCCAACGCACATCTTCAACAACAGGATCAAGAACAAGAAGAACAAGAACACGAACCAGAAAACCATCAGGACAACAACGATGACCACGACGACGACAACGACGACGAGGAGGAGGAGGAGGATGGACAGTATCCCACTCCAATGAACGACCCTTTTGCGGAGATCGAAGACGGCTGGAGGAAGTCAATCTCTGGCTCAGATCAACATCTTCATCAAGTCCAACCCAAACTGAAAAACAACTTAAGACTCAACAAACCCCAGCAGCCTCACTCAAACGATCAAGTACTCAATCAACTCGGTCATTTCTCATTCTCAAACCATAACGCTCAAACTGCCACTAATAGTGCTGATCTCAAGACCATCCACTCCAAATTACCATCCCACCATCATCAGACCAACCCACCCCTATCGATGAACCTACTCAGCATGAGAAGAGCCGATCAACCCGGCCTCTTTCGTCCACCTACCTCATCCTCAGCTTCCAAGACCTCCTTCTCAACTAACGAACTCTCTCTCGATCATTCAATCGTCCCCCGTACTAGACTCTCCAGCTTCTCAACCGAACTCGAACCGATCTCTGCTAGTCCAACCTCCCCAAACTCACCCTACTCACTCTCAACCGACCATCATCACAATCCACAACAACAACAACAACAACAACAACAACAGCAACAGCACCAACAGCACCAACAACAACAACAACAACAACACCCACAACCACAGCACCACCACCACCATTATCAGCTTCCTACTTCCAATCCACCTCGCTCCTCGCGTGCCTCTCTGCCTACCTCTCAATGGCCCCCAGTCAACCAGTCCTCCTCCTCATCATCCTCATTCTCCTCTTCTGATGATGGTCTCCTTCTCCGTCGAGCCTCTTCCTCCTCACTCGCCAGTGTAGCCAGCGTCTGCAGTTCGACTAACGGACTCAAGGCTCGTCGCGGTCTCACCAAGCCACTCTCATTATCACTCGCTGTCCCTCCAGCAAACCATCAACACTCCAACGCAGCTCAAGCTCTAGCTACACCCCTCAGATCCAGACATGATCCAAACACCAAATCATCCGCCTTCTCGCGCTCCTTACCCCCCTCTCCTCGACTAGGGGACCTCGGCCAAGCTCGTGCTCAATTCGTCGGAATGAAGGCTAACGTCACCGGCGGCCTCTCGATGAAACGTCGCACTTCGATCCCTCGCTTGTCACTAGGTGGGATCAGCTCGAACGATAACTCTCGAGCCTATGATCCCGTCCGCCTGATTGGTAGGAATAATGAGAGCGTCATGAACACACCCGTCCAACTTCACTTTGATCCGGTTGCTGCTGGGGAAGGCAGACAAGAACTGATGAGCTCGCAGGCTGGTGTTGGAGGCAAAGGACACATCGAAGTCCCGAGCGAGTTGACTGAGACGTTCCCCTACGAGTATGGACCCAAGGAGGTCTTACCTGACGTATTCTTAGGATCTGAGCAGAACGCTAGAGATGGCCATCTGCTCTCCAGTATGGGCTTCGGTCTGATCATCAATGTTGCTAAGGAAGTCGAATGTCCATGGGAACCAACCTCCTCACCGGCGCCGATCGAACAAGCCTGGCCGAGTCCTCAGCCGAAGAAGAGGGGTCTAATGGTCCGTCCGACGGCCTCGACGCCGAATTTGAAGCGCTCCTTCGAAGGGAAGATCCGGGTGAGTCTACCGGAACAGCCCTCGCAGGACTCTCCAGCTCGGACGGCCGTGTGCTCGTCGAGTCCCTTCCAGATGAAACGCTTGGATGCGGACCGGAAGACCTCTCGACCGTCGCTAGATTACATCAAGCTTCCTTGGTCCCATGATCAAGACGGACTGGCAGAAATCTTCAGCTCATCCGAGGTCTTCTCGCTCATCGACCGCGCCCGCGAACGCAAACTTAAGACCCTCATCCATTGTCAATGCGGCGTCAGTCGCTCGGCTACCTTCATCATCGGCTATTGCATGCGTGAGGCCGTCTTTCATCCCGATAAACTCGCGCTCTCCGGTCGCATGCACGATGCCTATAGCTTCGTCAAAGAGAAATCTCCCTGGGCTGGCCCTAACATGGTCCGTCCTCTCTCCTCTCTCCCTTTTTATTGCCCTGGTTTTCCTTCCGTAATTCACCTGTTGATATATTTGGTGTGTTTTTTTTTTCTGTAGGGGTTGATTTATCAGTTGATTGAATATGAGAAAGTTTTGTTCAAGTCTCGACGAGATATTGTTGAAGAGGAAGAGGAGGATGAAGAGGAAGACGAAGAAGAAGAAGCAGAAGGTGAAGAAGCAGGGCGATCCACAATGAACATTAACGATGGACTGATGGCGGAAGAGTACCAGGGAGAAGGAGCCGAAGTCAGTGCAACGGAAGGTTCAGAAGAAGCGAAGCAGACAGGCGAGCGAATGGAATGTGTCGAAGGCGAGGTTGAGATGAGGAGGCAGCAGATAGAGAACGACGGCGAAGATGAGGATCCTGATTCGGAGATGGTCGACCTCGACCATGATCGCAACCACCCCACCCCGACGAGAGTTTACAGCCACAATCCGCTCGACTCGCACCCGCCTCTCCCCACCACCTTCGCGCTTCCCCGGCTCTTCCTGTCTCCTCTTCCTGCCTCTAATCCTCTCCCCGCTTCCGGTCCTGCCGCCGATGATTTGCCCGTTCATATCGATGATGTCGAGTGACGGATTATCTCTCTGTTTTTGCCTGCGGTTTCTCTCCCCTCTCTTTTCTTCTATCTCTCTCTGTCTCTCTCCCTCTTTCTCTTCATCACTCACTCTCTCTCTCTCTCTTCATCAGTGCTTTCCTTCTCACTCACTCACTCTAATTTTTTTTTCAACTGAATGAATCGATCAACCACACCCCACCAACAGACATTTGTTCTTTCCCTTTCCCCCTCCCTCATCCCTCCCTTCTTTTTTTTCCCATCCTTCATTCTTTTCTTTCTCTCTCTTTCTATCTTTTTTTTTGATTGCTTTGTAACAATATTATATTATTTGTTGATTGAATTCTTGTGTCTCTTTTTTTTTCCTCGTGTTTTTTTTTTCGTTTGATTTTGTGTGTGTCTGGTCTCGTACATATAATATATGCATATAATACGTAACCACCATTGTTGTGATACATGCATACGTACTTGTGTGTGTGTGTGTTTGATGCGGGGTGTGTGTTTGATGCGGGGTGTGTATGGTATGTAAGTGAGGCACATGCAAAAATGCACTGTTCAACAACCTTGTACAGTGGGTAGACAGTGAAAAGTGTCTGCTTATTTTGGATTCCAGAGCTCTGAAACACAAACTTGAAGTCATGAGACTTGGTCAGGTGGTGCATAATAGCTCCCAAAAAATGAATATGGAATAATAAAAGCAAAAAATAAAGTTTGAAAATTTGTGAAAAATAAAAAATAAACTCAATTTTTTTCAAAAGCTTTGATATTCATTTTGGGGAAGTGGGAGTGCTGAGAGAAAGAAAGAATGGGATGTGGGAAGAATGATTATAAATGAAAAAAATTGGAACCAAAAAAGGTTTAGCCAGGTTGGTGGGCCAGATTGGAGCCAAAACAGTAAATTCTAGTGCTTTGCTGCAATGTGGGCTGGTGAATGCCCCACTCAACAGCTGTTTGAAGCCATATGAAAAACCAGTTTTTCCAAAATTTTCATTTATAATCATTCTTCTCATTTCCCAATCTTTCTTTCTCTCAGCACTCCCACTCCCCCAAAATGAATATCAAAGTTCATGAAAAAAAAAAATCAATTTTATTTTTTATTTTTCACAAATTTTGAAACTTTTTTTTTTGTTTTTATTTTTTCATATTCATTTTTTGCAACCTATTCTGCACCACTTGACCAAGTCTCATTACTTCAAGCCTGTGTTTTGAAGCTCTGGAATCCAAAACAAGCAGCCAAAAATAACGGTCCACCCACTGTACATACAAGAATGCACGGTTCAACAAACTTGTACAGTCATATCCCAGTTGTTTATGGCTGGTTTTGTTTGGAGTACATATACATCCTCAACCCATCAACTTGAGACCATGAGACTTGAACCAGTCGTATACAATATGTAGGCTTCACAAAATGATTCTGAAAACAAAAAAAATGTGAAAAAACACTTCTACAAAATTCACAAAAAATATTATATTAATGTTTATTGCACTTTTTTTTGTAAGTTTTGATATTGCTCTAGTGATCATTAAAATCAAAAGTGGAAAGAGTAGTACATTACATGGAATGGTGTGCAAGAAGAACGATGATAATAAATGAAAACATCAGAACTCATTCTGCGCTCAGCATCAGCCATGTCAAAATGCTAGTTGAAATTGGATCACATTGGCTTGATCAATTCCATTGTATTTTCCACGGCAAGTGTGAGCCTCTCCATACTATTGCCAGTTAAATTACAAAACCATCTGGTAGTTATTTTATTCGATATTATCAAATTTATTGTTTGTCCTCCAATGCTAGCATACCATCATACCATATAACTACCCTTTCCTGTCTTTATTTTTTTCCCCATTTTGAGTGGTATTAAAACTTCTGGAAAAAAAAGGACACTAACTGTAATTTATTTTGTAATTTTTTTTTTTTTTAAAAAAAAAAAACAGTTTTTCATATCTTTGTTTTATTGGAATCATCTTTTATGGAAGCTTGTTTTATGCCAGTTGTCTGAGTCTCAAGGGTTCAAGTGAGTGGGTTGGGGGCCAGTGTGATCCGACCAACCTAGCCATAAATTGCAACTTTGGTGGAGGTTTGAGTTGTGGTTGAGGGATGATTGTATTGGCCAGGTCAGATGTGTGGAGAAGAGTGAGTTGAGAAAGGCTGAGACAAGTAAGAGGAGGAGGCGTAGATGAAGAATGTGCAAGAAAAATGAAGACAAGAAAAAGGAAACAACAGGGTGAGAGAGAGGAGAGTGGGGATGGGACTGGGAGTGGGGAGATAGTGGAAAGAGAGCTAGGAAGATTGAGCAGTGGATTGGAGAAATTCCAACAATGAGTTTCCAATTTAAGATATAGTTGAATTTTTCAAAAAATTTAAACTTCTTGTTTGTGGGGACAGTTAGCATTGATGGGAGAGGTCAAAATTCAAGCAGAAGGTTCTGTAGGTTTAGGTTTTAACTTTTATGTGACTATTAATTTGGGTGAGGGAGGCTTCAAATGAATCTTAGGACCCTGGGAGTGCAGCAGTGTAGCCGCTTTGATCTCTAATATCTTTCCATGGATAAAATATACATTTTTTTTTCCAACCAAAAATGTTTATACAGTTTGTGGAACAATATGCTCTACCAGTATCTTTCCCAGCTTACAAAGTCATCATATTCTAGGATCCAAATATTCCTCATCCAAAACCCAACCCAGATGAAAAATTCAAAAGAACTTCTGAATGGTGGAATCATTTTGTTGGACTATTGGTTCAAATCACAGCAAAAAGAACATTGGAAGAAGTGTTTTGGGACAGTGGAAAATTATCTGAAGACATCGGCCATGATAATTCATGATTCAAACTCCATGTGAATAATTTCTAAACATGTTCATTATCATTTTGGTGTTAGAAATAATTATTTGCCCTACTGAAAACTTTGTAGAAAGAAATAAACCCATCAAAATAAATTACAAAATACTTGATTTGAGACAATTTGGTAACAGATAGATTTTTGAACATTTCTTAATTATCAATTAACTGAGTGGCCATTGTATTGGTTGCTTCTGTGGTTGTCATGTGCAGACTAACATATACTTTATAGTCTCCATAATTTAAAAAGTAGCAATTATCTCACTACATGTTCTCATCCAGAAGATCTGAATTCATCACATTCACAAAATTTTCCTCCTTGACACATGTCTTAGGGTTTGTTCCTAGTTATTCTTTTGCTGTAGATAGCTGTTAACTCTTAAAGGATGTTGAAAACGGATATTATTTGATTCCAAATAAGAAAAATTTACACAAATTACTATCTTCATCAAATTAATAAAGGAAGAAATAAAAGAAATATTCAAATTTGTCAATTCTGATGGACAGACATTGGAGATTGTTCAAATGAAAGGAGTCATCCTTAGGCCGAAAAAATGCATTGAGATAGGAGTATAACTAAGAGGCTTTGAGGTAAGATCCACTTGCAAGAAGAAAAAACTACTGCTTGAGCCGCTGATTTTGCATTTTGAACAGCAGCCCTTCCAGATCCGGTAGAGTTGAAGGTAGAGGCTTGATTCGAAAAAACAGCATTTGTCTGATTTCCGTGAACCCCAATGGCAGCAACGAGAAGAGCAGCACTCACGTGCTGGGATCGCACATATTTGATGGGTTGGGTATCTTGTGTCCAATTTCCACCGCAGTTCCAGGCTTGGTCACATGATTTATCAACCATAGCTTTGACAGAGGTATCAATCATATTCTGAATCTGCGCTTTCATGGTTTGATTGTTGGTAATCCGATAGAGGTATGCTAAGTTGCGGGCGTAAACGGCTTTGAATCCCTGTTGATCTCGGTTGCAGGTCTTGTCGGCCTCGCATTGTTCAGTAATAATTCCCGATGTGTTTGAACCAGCAAAAGTACGGGCGCCATAATCGAAGTATGGGGTGGCCATGTCTAGGTATTTCTTTTCGCCAGTTGCTTTGTACATCCACGCTAGAGAACCAAGCATTTGTCCGTAGTTGTAAGACCACAAAGACGTTGAAAACTTTCCGCAGGCGTCAGCTTCGACACCATCCCAAATAACACCACTTTGCTGGTTCGCGATGCCTGAGGTTGTTGTCCAATCAAGAATAATTTTCGATTGCTCAAAAGCCGTGGCGTTCTTTGTTTGAATAAAATTTCGAGCGCCTTGAGAGATGAATTCCACTTGAGTGATGAAAGACTTGTAATTTCCACCCTTGGATTGCCGGTTCCTTGACTAGTTATGTAGCGTGCCCCTAGAGTTAGCCAATCAAATCACAAACACTAGAAACGTGAAATTCGTGATTTACCCAATATATTCCACCTCCACACTTGTAATCAGCCTGAGCCCACACCTGATCATAAGTTTTAGTGGCTAGACTGATCCAATCTCCGTTTCCACCCGCCATTTGCGCTTTCGGTCCGAAAAGTTCAGCTCCAGCGATCACTTGAAAATGGATCGAATGCATCGGCGGTAAGTATGACGGCTTCAGTTGACTTATACCAAACAAAATAGTGTTCAATTTTTTGGGGCTTACCGGCCTTTTGCGTAGTGAACAAATTTCGATTTTAACGATTGATCAATTCTGATCAGTCGGGATGTCCAACATATGCACAACCACTGGAGCGAAAAATTCGTGCTCACGAGATTTGGCCATAAGACGTCATCATTCCATCGCCCGAGGAATTGTTCAACGACCTGACCCTGATTACCTCCGAGGAAGTCGCTGTAAAACCTCAATTAGATGACATTTTGCATTCGATTGATTTTGAATGTTGTGAACGTACTGGGCAGTTTTGAATGATGAATTAACAAGAGCACTTGTGACCAGACCGGAAAACTGGGTATCTCCTGTGTATTGTGCATAGTCCATGAACATGCCCCAAATCATGCCTGACTCATGCCACGGAGTATCAGCTTGATCAAACGAGCCATCCTGCAAAGACCCCATTCGAATTATCATTAGGACCTTTTTCCGCTCAAGTAGTGGAGATAAGTTAGCTTACAGAGCCGCTGTAATAGGTCAAGAGATTCTTGAGGGCTGAAGTTGCGGCATTGACTAGTTGATTCGTGTTGCTGATATCCAAAGTGGGGGAATAAGACGCTCCAAGGACTGAATATATTCCTAGAAAGCTAATCAAAAGATTGTATCCAATCATTCTGTTTTGTCGGAAGTGATGATGGTGTTGATTTTGGCAGATTTCAGGTTGAAGAACCAAGTGTTATGGATTATTTGAAAGAATGAGTCAAGGCCGATAAGTAAATCTGGATATGTCTTGTTAAGAATTATAACTGATCCCATAGGTGAAAAAAGGGCAGCAAAAGTCAATGGATAACCGAGCTACGTATTAGCTGGGTTTCGAATATCACCAAGTCAGTCTGCTTGAGATTTGAACGTCCGTCAAACCAATCCACGTAGATTTTAAGCAAGCTCGCTCGCGCACGAACAAACAGAGAGCCAGAAAAAGCTTACGAACGGTGTCGATCCGAAGACTTGAAGTGTGAGGGTGGAAAGGAACAAAAAATCCAAGCAATCAACCGATGAAAACTCCGAAAAGAAAATGATAAAGCACTGTCCGCTGAAGGTGCCTCTATTGGGGATGATGGGGATATGTTTTCGAAAGGAAATCAGGACCAGAGCTGTGCCCAGTCAATCTAGCTCCTAAGATGCGCTGCTCTCAGGTTTCTATAGCTGTTTCGGACGATGCTCAAGCGGCATGTAGAGATATGTATGTATAACCTCAGGTAACCCGGCTCTCGAGGTCAGCTTGAGCTTAGAAGCAATGTGACAAAGTTTGGATAAGTGTTCGGTGTTCCCAGATACCGACCCCTCTGTCGATGGCCTCTCAAGTAGTTTGTAAGCTTATTTGAACATAGACTCGGTAGAGTTTGTTGCCCTTGCATCCAATCTTCGTCGTCATGTTTATCTTATTTTACAATTCTTATTTACCTTTCTACCTATTCGCGGCGCATCTTGCCCTCCCCCACATTTCCTTTAATCTGGGTCCCGGGATCTAGGCACGGTTTGGTTACCAACTATGAACTTAATCTGGGAAGCTGCTACACGTGCAGCCTCTCGGGCAAAGTCTCCTCGCGGAGTTTGCCCTGTTCGCGCATAGCACATGTAGAACGGTTTACGAAATCCATGACATCACTCATCAAGCTGTGGATATAGTTACCACACTTACTTTGGACCGTCGCAATTCTGTTGTAAATGTGCAACAATGACTTCCTGATTCTTTGCGACCAAAAACACGCATCAACTTGTGTCCTAATAAACCTGCAAAATTTCTACCAGCTGTTTGGATGAGGGTACTGTATGGCATCCAAGTGATTTTTGACCATGTGTATCAAGGCAATATGAACTTGGTGATAGTATCCAGGAAGCTCTCTATGCAAGTGGGTAGCCAAAAATTTGGAATAGAGCCTAAAACTTGAATAATAAAAACAAGCAACAAGTTGCAGAGTTCTCAGTAAATTTGAATCTTTGGGGGCCAAAGGCAGGTTTTCTGCTCTACCAAGAATGTTGACAGTGTGTTTTTACTTGTATTAACAACTGTAACATATTTACAAGTACACTCCAAGGACACTTGCTTTCAACAACCACTTTAACTTTTAGGCAAACAACATCCATTTGGCTACCTAACCTGGTCAATCAGGACCCAGGAGACCCCCTATATATGTGGGTAACCAAAAACCCCTGATTTTGCAAAAATTCAAACATTGGGGGCCACAGGGGAAACACCACTTTTGGGGCCATTCATACCTGTTTTGTGTGTATGCTTGGCGGAAGATCCCCCAGCAATTGAGGAAATCGTTGAAAATCCCCCCCCCCCCCGGAAATGTGGGGATGGTGCATTTTGTCTGGTTTTGCTCAAGATTGACCTGAGATTCATACATTTAAACTTTGTTTTGTGTGTACCATTTCAGGTGCCAAGGCAGATTCATACCACTTTTGTGTGTATCATTTTGAGGGTTTTCCCCAAAATTCATACATTTAGGTTACCCACCTAGTTTGGGGGTTTCCTGGGTCCTGGTTGATCATGTTTTGGCAGGCCAGTAATTACTGATCTCATCTTGCACCATCATAAATAAACACCATGATAATTTAAGATTGGATGAAAGAGGTTCAGCCATTCAAACAGATGCAAGAAGAATGCAAGTGACAGGACTACTGTTTCCCCCAGTTTGTTTATCAAAAGTGGATATACCAGTCAAGCTAGCAACCTTGCTGGCTGCACATGCTTTGATATGAAGCTCAGTCAAACAGTGAGCCTGGTGACCACCATGTAGTTAAAACCTTTGAATGACATACCCTTTGGTGGAAAAATTTTGTTAAACATACATGTTTATGTGGGGAGGGGAGTTAGGCTCCTTGAATAGAGTAATTTTGCAGTTGATGAAGGGCCTTCCATGTGAATTTTGGCCAATTCGTAAAAATATGTAGTATTTCCTCTCAGTACATATATTGAATGTATGTACATAGCTGGTTTTGAATATTTTTTTTGAGCAAGTACATATGTATATCAATAAATTTAGAGTTAAGGGCGATGTCCGCTCCTCCGAACCCTTTTGTGCCAGATACCCGAATAGGTTACCCCGAACCCCCTGTGGTCAGGTCAGGCCCGCCAAGGGTAAAAGCCAGCTTCTCCCAGTCCCTGCCCAGACGAGAACCACCCAAAACCCAGCAGGCTCGCCCAACAAAAACACATAACACAACTTCCTTCGACTTCGACTGCGACTTCAGTTTCAATTTCGATTACACAAAAAAAGACCTGCTATACCAACCACCTCAACCCAATGGCTGCATCACCAGCAAAGGTCGCCTCATCCAAACCGAATCCATCCACCGATGGCAAACCCGTTCAAGTCAAATTGGTCTTGCTAGGCGAAGCTGCGGTCGGAAAATCATCAGTCGTCCTCAGATTCGTTCAAAATGACTTCCAAGAGAACAAGGAGCCTACTATCGGTTAGTCGTTCGACTATCATTTCAATCGTCTTCCTCGCTTAGCTCAACTATTCATGTCTAAAAACAACCCTTTGAACCCAACCAACTGATCTAACGCATCCTCGCTTTTTCCGCTTTCTCACATACAGGTGCTGCCTTTTTGACTCAGAAATGTAGACTAGAAGATAAAATCATCAAATTCGAAATATGGGACACTGCAGGTCAAGAAAGATTTCACAGTCTTGCTCCTATGTACTACCGAAATGCTCAAGCTGCCATCGTCGCATACGACATCACCAAAAGCGTGAGTTCCTGTACAAATATTGATGGGATAGTGATTCTAGGAAAGAGGGACTCAAATCGTGGCTGGGGGGTGTTTCTTTTTAGTCTTCCTTAGATAAGGCTAAATCTTGGGTCAAAGAACTGCAACGCCAGGGGCACGCCAATATTGTCATTGCTCTGATTGGTTTGTCACAAAAATAAACCCCTACTTGTCCAACTTGTATTATCATCTAACCGCTGGACCCCTTTTTTTCTCTTGTCAGGAAACAAGCTCGATTTAGTTCAATCAGACGCAGATCAATCGGCCTCCAATGGCTCATCCTCATCCAACGCAGACGACGAGCCAGATGACGCCACAGCTACCCCGGACAATGCCACCTCACTCCCTGACTCGACCGCTGCCAATCCGAATCTTTCCTCATCCTCTAAACGTCAAGTTACGAAGGAAGAAGCCGAAGCTTATGCTCAAGAGAACAACTTGCTCTTCTTCGAAACGAGCGCTAAAACCGGAGAGGGAATTGTCGAAGTTTTTACTCAAATCGGTCCGTTCTCATCATCATTCTTGAGTTTGTTTGTGGACCGCCAAGCTGATACCGTCCATATCTTCGTATCTAGCTGGCAAGATTCCATTAGAGGTTATCTTATCCGGCCGAGGGAATAACACCGCTGGGGGGAGAGCAGGCGCAGCTAACCGGGGCTCAGGCGGTGCTGGAGGGACAAATAACACCGAAGATAGTCGGATCAATCTTGCTAACAGCGAGGAGGCAAAGAAAGATGGCTGCGCTTGTTAAACAAAACATTCACTTGATGGTTTGTTAACCAACTCCACCTCCTTTTTTCCCTTCCTAATTGTTGTATTCTCTCTCATCAAGAAATGATTTGTTCTAATTATTTATGTTTCAGTTGCTTTATTGCAAATAACAAAGACAGTCGCATCTCAGCTACCGACATCCAATGCTCCCGAATCGCTTTCGTACTGTTGGATGTCGGTAGCTGCTATTCGAGCCAGCTTTGTGTTTGATTTACTAGGCCCTGCTTCTTTTGGATCATTCATCACTTTTCTTCTTTCTTTTCTGATGTACTCAATTTTGCCATTATCTTACCCAATCATGACCTTTTTTTTAGCTTGTCTACAAACATCAATGCACTCATCTTTTTTTAATGTCTCCTGTTGGCTTGATACATCTGTTTAGTAGTATTACCTACCTACCATTCCTGTTTCTATGTCTTTTATTTGTTTCTTCTCTTCCTCTTTTGCTTACATTTCCTTTCTGACACGAAAAAAAAAAAACATGAACTATCTCAGACTAGTCAACATCTACATTGTCGGAGCGATTCACTTTTTTTTAGTTTTATTTTTCTTGCGATCTTGTATTTTGTTGACTTGTCCTGTTTCATTCCAGTCTACATATTCTTTCCATCAAGTGCGATCTACAACCTACACATGTGCCTTCCACCTTTGAACAGAGAAATGTGCAAAAGAACAAACCGAAATAGCACTAGCAGGCATCAGAAATTCTCCTGCCCATACAGACCCTGTCCCAAGTCCATTTTTCGAATGCCTTCATATTATGTCCAATGATCATTGGTGATAATGGCTGCCATTTTCTGTCTAACCAAGATAACACTTGTTGATCAGGGGCTTCCTTCATAGGGGTTATTTCAATTTGACGCAATCAATGGCCAGTGCTCTAAACCTCAGCGCATTGAGCAAGAAATTCATGGAAAGTCTTGCCCTGGTCTACTGAAACTTTCCATGCAATCCACCTTTTTTCAAGTTTACCTGACGTTCTAATGCATAGTCCCAGAACCGCCCCGAATGGTTTATCACGAGGCTACGTGAAACCAACTATACAATTTTCTTCAAGATAGATAGTGAATGTCTTGAACCCGTAGTCAGGTCACAACGCCCATTTGACCTTCGTTGGAAAAACCATTTAGAAAGTAAACTTCATACCAGTTAGTTCCAGCGGTAAATGAAAAAGCCTTCCAGGTTAAAAGGTTCTCTGAAAAATAGACCTTCTGACTTGAGGTTGGAAAAACTGATTTTCAAGAACCGTTATTCCAAGTTGCAGTGGTATGCATGCGTCCATGGTTTCTCAAGCAAAAAAAGAACATGACGGACGGACTTTGCAAAGGAACATTTGTGCCACAAGAATCCGTATGAAAACAGCAGACAAATAGTAGTGCCACACAAATCCATCTGAGGCGATGAAGCAATGGTGCCACACAAATCCATCAGCCACTGATACCTTGATCACATGGCCGTTGCGAAGAGCTTGACTCACACCGACTTCTTCATACCCACCATGTTCGCCACAGGTGAAGCGAGCTATCAACGTCTATAAAAGCCCGGGGGTGTCAGAGCTTCTTCAGCTCCCAGGTCACTTCCAAAAAGAAAAATTCTAAACAGTTTTGCTTACTTGGATATCGAGTCACACTATAGCATTATCGAAAAATTCGCATACAATGTGGATTGGTCTTTGTACTATTCCCCTCCTCCTCCTTAGCACTGGGGTGAAGGGCGCGAACAGCCCCGACCCAATGGATTTCTGTTTAAAAGACTTCAGCTATGAGCACTGCGTTGAACAAAATGGTAAGCCGACTATTCCTCAATTAATAGTATAGTATTATCTGTCCAATTGCGATTGAGACTTGCGTTCTGATTTATATGCTCCTCTCATCAGCCCCGAATTGTAAGGATATCAAACAAGAAGATTTCAAGAATTGTTGTAGCAACGGCACTCGTTAGTCACTACCTTTATCCTGATTCAGTCGTAGTAAACCGATCTACCGACTGATCAAAACCCTTTGAACAACAGCGAAAAAAGGTTGTGGGACGCCAAAATACATTTACGGCGGCTGCGGATCGGTTCCTCCACTTCAGTATGCTAATTGCATTGACACTCACGGTGAGATGATCAATTGAATTTCCAATGGTGTCCATACCCTGACATCGACTGATTGATCGTCTTTCATTAGAGCCCGGGTGCAAGGGTGTCAAATTGAAGGACTATTTTAGGTGTTGTAAGGGGGGACCAGGTCAGTCAATCTTTCTCAGCCCACATCTCCGGAAGCTTATCAATTATCTGTATCCAGGCCAAAAATACAAGGATAAATCGTGTTAAAAATGGATCTCCAAATCGCTGCTTCACGCTACTTAACAACATACTCTGCGATTTTGGCTGGGACTTGTCCATTTGAGTTCTTAAGTATGCTGACAGCTACCTGCCGGATCTCGCTTCATAGTGTTTTTTTACTACAAACTTCACATTCAATTTTGAGATTGTTCCTGGGGTCATACCTGATCAACCTCCGCACAGACTCTCTCACAACAAAAAAAATCAAGTCAATGAGAGCACCTATTCTTCACCAAATGATTGGTTGAATGGTTTCACATCCTCTTCTTCTCTTCTGTTCTGTTGTTATTGCCCATGCTTCATGAATACAGTATGGCCCAATCAAAATAGACAATAGTTTGCATCTGAGGTTTGCTATGTTTGTTGGAAAATCTGGCTTGCGTCAATGAAAAGTCTGAGTAGTTACAAATTACAAAGACTGCAAGGCAA